TGGGGGTGGGGAGCCCAGGGTGGGCGCAGCGGGTCGGAATGGAGGGGCACGACCATGGGCGCTGTCCCCTCCCTGACGCCTGGCGCTGTTCCCTCCCGTCCCCAGGGAACGAGGTGGATCAGCGGGACCTGGGCATGGCCCTGACGCTGGTCAAGGACCTGATCTCGGCCATCGACCTGGAGGTGCACGAGCAGGAGAAGAGCGCGCGGCTGCAGGAGATCTACGGGCGCGTGGACGGGCGGGTCAAGGCCCAGCTACTCTGGGAGGGCTTCAGCGGCTTCTTCAGCAAGGACGAGCTGCTGCGCCGCAAGCTGGTGCACGACGGCTGCCTGCTATGGAAGACGGCAACCGGGCGTTTCAAAGGTAGGTGGGGGGGGGTTAGGGTTGGGGGGGGGATCCTGGGGCCTGTTCCCGGCTGCCCCCAGGCCCAGTTCGTCTGCTCCTGGCTCCAGCCTCTGCTTCCCCTCAGACTTGGCTGCTGCAGGATTCTCTGCCCAGCTCCCCCGGCCCAGCCCCTGGTTCATTCGGCTGCCGACAGAGGCTCCATCTCCCTCCCTTTCTGGCTTGGCTGATGCTGAGCAGCCCCGCCGAGGGCAGGTTCCTTGACGCCCTCTGTCTTCCCTCTGCCCCGCAGATATCCTGGTGCTGCTGATGACCGACGTCCTCATCTTCCTCCAGGAGAAGGACCAGAAATTCACCTTCCCCGCCCTGGTGAGCTGCGGCTGGCCCGAGCACGTCCATCTGTCGGCCTCTCCCGCTTCTCCTCTCCACCGCAGGGCCAGCCAGAAACCACTGGGCCTCCTGGCACATGGGGCAGCTTCGCTGGGGCTCGGTGTCAGGGCTCCTGGGTGCTGCCGGAGCACCCTGCCTCAGTTTCCCCAGCAGTACAAACCTGAGGAGAACCTGTCCCGCTCCCACTAGGGGCCGTTGGGAGGGTGAATTTGTTGCCGTTGGGAGTGTCTCTGGTGGCAGACGCTGCGCGAGGGACACCGGATTACGCTGCCTGGCTCTGCCCTTCCTCTGCTGCTCTGCGCTGCCGTCGGCGTTAGGGACATGCTGGGGGAGATGGGGCCCCTTGTGCCGGGTGCTGCCCAGACCCAATGAGAACAATCCCTGCCCCAGATCTTCTGGGAAAAGGTTGAAGGTGGGAGGAGAAACTGAGGCACAGACCAGGCCCCCATTGGACCAGGCACTATGTGGGGACACAGCAGAGCGACAGCCCCTGCCCCGGCAGCTTCTAATCTAAGTCTGACCAGAGACGACCGGTGGAGCCGGCCAGACGGACGGGGGAGCGCTAGGCCATAATGCCCGTGCCAGGCCTTGCAGCCTCTGCCTTCCCAAACCCCTGGGTCCCCCCCAGATCCCCTCACTCTCGCTAATGGAATGCTGCGTCCCCTCCCCCAGGACAAGCCGGCGGTGATCTCCCTGCAGAACCTGATCGTCCGGGACATCGCCAACCAGGAGAAGGGCATGTTCCTGCTCAGCGGCACCCCGCCGGAGATGTACGAGGTGCACGCCGCCTCCCGCGACGACCGCAACACCTGGATGAAGGTCATCCAGCAAACCGTCCGCCTGTGAGTGCCCCTTGGCAAGGGGAGAGGGAGGGACTCTGCCTCCAGTCCCGCACGGGCAGGATAAAAGCTTTACTACAGCTGTCGGCAAAGGGTTAGCTGCAGCGTCAGAGCCTGGGCCTTTTAGCACTGAAGTCTCGGATTCTGGTTCTATTGGTGGCCCAAGTGGGGATGCCCGGGCGGGGCTTGTGTTCTGGGGGGACCCTGTGCAAGTGGGGACAGGGAGGTGGCAGCAGTGTGGGATGGGGGTGCCTGCGATCCTGGGACCGCCAGGTGCCTGGGGAAGGGAGGGTGGGCCACACTATGAAGTTGGCCCTGTGGGCTTCAGCAGGGGGATGAGTGGCGAAAAGGGGCGTCTGCGGGAAAGGGGTGCTCCTGGGAAAAGGGGGCAGGGGGCAGCCATCCGGGCGTGCGGCTTGCCTGTGGAGGGGGCAGCGCTGGGGTGGATCTGCGGGCTCAGATTGATCAGGTCCCGAAGGGGGAGAGACAGTGACCTCCCCTGGGGTGCTCGGGCCATGGGCGTGTGGGCGGTGCTTTGGGATCCACTGTGGCTCCACCCCCCTCTCTGACGCATCCAATCTGCTCTAGGTGCCCCAGTCGCCAGGACTTCCCCCTCATCGAGACAGAGACCGAGGCCTCCCTGCGCAAGCTGAAAGGTAGGGGCGCCCCCCCCCCCTCGGGTGTCCCTGGCAGTCACTGGCCCTTGTGCCCCCACAGCAGTCGCTGCCTTTGTGCCCTGGCCCAGCAGTAGCCTCGCGCCCCCTCCCCCAACAGTTAACCACCCCACCTGTCCCACCTCACTCAGTCCCCCCCCATCCCGTCTCCCCCAGACCAGATGGCACAGCGGGACCGAGAGATCACCGAGCTGCTGGAGGAGAAGGTGGGGCTGTTCACGGAAATGCTCAGTCTTCAGAGCGGCTGCGAGGACCCCCCAGCCTGCCCAGCCCCCCGCACCCTCTTCCGGGCCGAGTCACTGGAAGGGCCCCGTGGGGAGAAGCTGCTCAACGAAGCCATCCGCGAAGGTACCCGATGCCAAAGGGCTAAGCACCCCCCGCCCCAAACTGCCCTCCCTCCTGCAGGCCCCGCCTGGTGGATCTCTTGCCATTGCAGTTCAGAGCCAGGGCCCATCTAGCCCGGTGTCTGGTCTCACACATTAACGCACCAGCTGTTTCCGAGCATGGTGCAAGGGCTCCCTCTAGTGGATGATCTTGGGATAACCTGCCTCCGACCATTCTCTGAACTGCTAAGAAGGATGAGTTTTAAGCCCCCCAGCAGATTTCCCCTTTCCTGATGTTCATCTCTTGGTAGGCGTAGGATAAGCAATGCGAACAGGAGTGGACCGGCCATGCCCCAAGGAGCACGCAGTCTGCGTAGACCCAGACAGGCACAGAGTGGGAAAGAAATGCTCTGAATGTTCCCTTTTACAGGTGGGGCAACTGAGGCCCAGAGCAGGGATGTGTCATGCCCAAGGTCACATTAGGGAGTCAGTGTGAGGGCTGGGAATAGAACCCCAGTATCCTGAGTCCCAGTCCAGAGCCCGCCCTTTTCGCGGTACCCCGGCCATGTGGCTTTTCACAGTACCCCTGCCGTGGTACCAAAGAATGTATCAGTGTCTTCGCTGGCCCTACTTCACCTTGTGTTTCTCCCCCTCCAGTGGAGTGCTTGAAGGATCTCTTCATGGGAGCCGGGAGGGACTGGGACCAGAACCACCCTGCTGATCCCGATGGCACGGGCTCCAACAACACCACAAGTATGAGACTCTCCCTTCCCATTCCTCCCTTCCCTGAAGCAGTCTGGCTGCGGGGCCGGATGCTGCCCGCGTAGACTCGGAGCGGCTCGATGTTGTGTGTGTGTCAGCTCCTTGTTTACTGTGCGCCTCTTGCGAGACGGGAGAGCGATGCGACTGAACGAAGGCTGGAAAATCCTGCCTCGCAGGGAGATGTTTCAGGAGCATGGCCTGAGCTTTGGGGGAGACAAAACAGATGGTAGATGATGGGGTTGTATCCATGGAACACCTCCCAAGGCAGAAGATTTGTGAGGGGAAGGGGTGTCCAATCCAGCTGCCGAAGGCAGAACAAGAGCTGATGGGTGGGAGCTGAAGGGAGACTTCTTAGAGCTAGGAGAGTCAGTGAGAGTCGTTAACCTGTGGAACGCCATGCCTAAGGATGTGGAGCTACACTAGAAAGGCTTGTCGGTATACCTGGGCTGGTGAGCTCCACCATCTGGGATGCAGAGCATACACCAGTTCCCCAAATTGTTAGCAAAGGGCTTTCTGTCCTGTGTCTACACCAGGGTCTTTCACTGGCTCCGTTCAGGGTCAGGGATTGCTCCTGAGATTGACAGCTTGGCCAGCGAAACTGGATGGAGGCCAGGCCTTAGTCTTACAGCTGGGGGGTGGTCTCCTCCTGAAAGCGCCTCCAGCCCACCAGGTTACCCTGGTCTCTGGGGTGCATGGGAGGTCAGGTTGGCTGCTTACCACGGTTCCTTCTGGCCTTGGAGCCTTGTGACTCCCCGTGTCAGTGGCAGGCAGGTGAATTTCCACCCAGGAAGGGGCTACCCTGACCTGTCTCATCCGCTCGCTCTTCCCTCTGCAGATGGCGAGACCAGCAGCCTCAATGGTGCCTCGGAGCTCTGCCTGGCCGACTCGGACTCGGGCCAGCGGGTAAGTCCCTTTCTCCCCTGGCAGGGAGCCTGTCCTGGCAAGCTCTGACAGCATGGGGGGGGGGGGGGGGAGCTGGGTTCACTTCCTGGTGCTGTGGGACCCATGCGACTCTGCTGTGCCTCAGTTTCCCCTTCTGTAAAACCGGCCTGGTGCACTCTCTCCCAGGACACACAGGGTAGGAGGCTGCCTGCAGAGCCTTTGCTCGGCACATCACTGGGAGTGCCTCCCTCCGCACTGACACTACAGGGACTGAACCAGTGACCTCCAGAGCCAAAAGCAGGTGCTGCCACTGCTTGGGCTATAGCTCCAACCTCTCTATTCGGCACCTAAAGCCGTTGTCTCCCTTGTGCCTCCGCACAGGGCTGGAACATGCACATAGGGGTTGTCATGTGGCTGATCTCCCTGCCTTTTCTCTCCGTAGGACGGGAACGGTAACCAGCTGCAGCAGAAGGTACCCCGTGAGGTAGGAGGGGCTGGCAGCCTCTGGGCAGCATTGGGGAGGGGCTGATAGGAGGGAAGGGGGGAGAGTCCCCTCCTGTGCATGTTTTCCAAACAGCTGTGCTGAGTGTGAGGTTTTGTGGGGAAGCAGCATGGCCTAGTGGCTAGAGCCCCAGGCTGGGAGGCCCTGGGTTTTGTTTCCAACTCTGCCACCACTAGCTTGCTGGGTCCAGTCACTTGCTTCCTCTGTGCCTCATTTCCCCATATGTAAAATGGGGGTAATGATCCAGAGCTCTTTTTGTAAAGCCTCTTGAGCTCTATGGCCAGAAAGGGCTGTTGATTTATTATTCATGTGGATTTATTGCTCTCTTCCCCCCTAGGAGTTGATTGACCGGCTTGCGACCCTCTATGGCCTCCTCCATGGCTTGCAGGTCTGTGCCATCGAATCTCCCTCCTCTCCCATATTCCCCCTGGCTGGAGGAGTCCCAACCTATGCGCCTCATCAGCAGTAGAGTAACGGTTCAGTTCCCCTTGGTGGGTGCGGTGGGATCAGTCCTGGTGTGGGGCTGAAGCATATCACCCTGGGTGGGGTTGGGGTTCCCCTGTTGCTGCCTAGGAAAGGGGTAAGAGAAGAGGGAGGGATGGGGGAAGAACCCAGGGGGCAGAGGGTGAGGTGGGAGGGGAATTCCTAGGGAGAGGTCTCAGAGCCAGGTGCCAGGGATAAGGGTGAGGGGAAGACTCCCTATGGTGACGGTCACACAGCCAGGGCTGGGGGCGGGAGTGCAAAGTGGGAGACACTCCTGGACCAAGGAGTGCAGAGCCAGGGTGGAGGGGAGGGACGTGACGCCAGGCATAGGGTGCGGGAGGAGGCCAGGAGCCCAGGTGAAGGGGCTGGAGGAAGGGGCCTGGGGGCAGAGTACCAGACTCCCACTGATATGAGGTGAGCACTTACAGACAAGTGTTTGGAGCAGAAGACGTCTGGGGAGTTGCTGGAGTCGGGATCCCAGCCTGGGGATCGCCCCTGCCCTGGTAGCTGGATGGGTTCCTATCAGGGAAAGGGGCCCTGGGGCTTGTATGTTCAGCTGTGTGGGGCAGATGGGGCCCCAGGCAGGCAGAGTACCAGACTCCCACTGATATGAGGTGAGCACTTACAGACAAGTGTTTGGAGCAGAAGACGTCTGGGGAGTTGCTGGAGTCGGGATCCCAGCCTGGGGATCGCCCCTGCCCTGGTAGCTGGATGGGTTCCTATCAGGGAAAGGGGCCCTGGGGCTTGTATGTTCAGCTGTGTGGGGCAGATGGGGCCCCAGGCAGCCCCGATGACACCGTCTCTTCCTCCTCCCATTCCAGGCTGCCGTGGGTCAGCAGGA